TATTTTATTATTTGTTTCGGTTTCAGAAATTTTTCTTTCTCAGATAAGTAAACCATCAGTTTTGTTATTTAATACAACCATCGATTTTTCAGTTTATTATTATTATTATTATTAATGTATTAATATTACACATTTAGTTTTAAAACTTTTTATATGCACATAGCAAGATAATTTGAACTTTGAGTGTATCTTAAAAACGTTATCTGAAATATATAAAATAGAATGCAGCGTTGAATTTCACATTTAAGTAGACACCCGGACACTTTTCAGATATAATACTGTGAAAAAAGTTATATCAGTATCATCGTAACATAGAGTTATCACGTGACATTGAAATGAACGAAAATTTTTTGTCCATGAATTATTCTCACGACTCAATAAAATTAATAAAAATTATTATTTTTAAAAAGTTAAACAAATGTAAATTTCATTCCGAATCCTTCAAAATAAGAAACTTCTTGAGTATCACAGACAATAATTCTTCTGTAATCTTCTACTGCATTTTTTAATTTCTGATTATATAAGCATTCTCATTTTATAATATACAGACAATGATTTATCTGTATGTTCTCCGTTCATGCCGGACTATTACATTTATTATAAATGATAGTATAGTTTGCATACAATCATTATCCCGGATTTCACGTAACATATATAACATTGTATCAAAGGTTCGCTCGATATGTCTGGATTAAGATTCGGTTATGATCAATTACTTGCGTCTTTAAAGTTTTCCTTTCGAAGCTTTATATAACTATTGGTTTCTGATATAAGCTATAGTAGTGAGGATTATGAATATCTTCAGACAAAATTTGGGTAATTTAACTGTGAATAAGCTTTTTTCAATAAAATCAAAATCAAATGCTAGTATATTTATTCTTATACGAAGACTGATGCCCATTTTTATTTTTAGGATGCTAATAGTATTTAATAAATTTACAATTTAAAATCATACAAGAATCAATCTTCTTATTTTTAACAATTTAGGAAACAAAAAATAAAATAGTTAGGAATCCTTTTTTTTTTAAATGGCACTTACGTTTTTGCAGGTACGGCAAGTCTCTCAAGTGTGAGAACTATCTCAGTGGTGGCACCATCTAGCGGCGTCTCTCGCTGCCAAATTTTGACACCTGATGTAATTTAATTCAATCTCACGCTGGATGCTAAATATTGCCATGCTATAATTTTCCGAGAATACCAGAGCTAAATTTATACTCATTGGAACTTTTACATGCCCTATAGTCATATGACAAGCGTGTCTATGATTTTCGCATCCACTAAATCTCTTCAGCCGGAATCGAACTCACATTCTTCAGCTTACGAGACTAGCATGCTACCTCTAAGCGACCGAGCTTACTAGACGCTTCAGATACAATTACTGAAGTAAATTATTTAAATAAATCGAATTGCTTGGCATATAAAGGAGTTAATGAATGGAAATAAATTTTCTGGAAGAACTTTAAAAAATTAAATGCAAACTTAAATGTTAATTAAGTTAGAAAAGCACGATTAATCTTCTAATGCATATTTTTTTAAATTTAATCAAACATTTTAATCATTAAATCATTTCATTTTATCATTATATCATTAAATCTTTTTAATTCAAACATTAAACCAATCAATCTTTTTAAATTTATTAACGTAAGCTATTATTTGTCTACATACTGAAAACATTCATAATCATATGACATACGTACGAGTACCTACGATTTTTGCATTCAGAAAACCTATTGATTCTAGCCTGGATCAGAAACACAAACTTGGACTTACGTACAGGGCACATTACTTATAAAGCAACCAATCCTACATACCAGAATTCTCAAATTATGAAATACTTACCGGGAAAGGTACTTTTATTTTTGAAGAAAAAAGCAGGAAATATATATTTTTAATGTACAAAATTTTTCTCTGGTCTAACGTTAGCTTATCAGGAATTATTAAATTATTTTGTATATAAGGGTTTATTAAATATTTTAACTCTACATTTACGACTCGGTAAGAAGTGCATTAGAATATTTAAAAAAAAACAGATAATGTTCATTTAACATTGAGATGTATAAATAATATTTACTAAGAAAAGACTTTACTATTTTGTATTAATAATAAAATAATGGTACTGCACTTGGAAAGATATTTATAGAGTTACCACACACAAAAAAAAATCCCTTTTTTTTCAGTTCCACGTGTCGAGGGGATAAATAAACTCTTTTTTATATACAGTAACATATAAAAACTTAATATAGCCTTAAAATGCACTGTTTTACAAAAGCCTTAGTTAATTAAATCATAATAAAACAAAAATGTACCTTTTTTGCAGCATAATTCAAAAGTTAAACTTAATAAAAAGAAATCGTATAGAATTTATTTGAATCGCGATGCTAATGAATAATTTCATATCAAAGCAAGTTAAGTTATTACAAAAGAATGAATGAAATATATCATCACAGAAACAGAAAGCTAATTCAAATGAGAAATCTATTTTAGTGAATAAATTTACTTTTATTTTTATGCATAATGGTATTCGTTTCTTTGAATATGTTTCGGCAGTTTTATGCATTATTTTATTGTTTCTCTGTCACAATTATTTCTTCATAAATTATTCTGCCTCTGATTTTCAACGTAGTAACTTATTTTACTGAGTCTTTGTCTAAAATAACAATTGGTTTGAGGTCTTATTTTCGAAAGCAAGATAATAGCAAACTATCCTCAGTTTAATTTTGAAAAATATCAAATCCAAGCTACTCTTTTAAGAAACAAATAATTTGTATTTTTTTTTTCAACATCTTTATGTGAATAAATCTAAATCTTGTTTTTCAAAAGTGAATTTAACTCTTAATAATAAATGCTTTAGAAATAAGTTACATATTAAAATAAAATAAATTAGAAAGTATTCTATTGCACAAATATTTCGCATTCAATTTAATGACAAATTAATTAAATGTGCTGTTAAGTAAAAATTGATGAGCTTTCATTAAAAACAACTTCCATATTTCAAAGGTCAGCTGTAATTTATATTTGAGTTTTTGAGTCGTCTAAGATGTTATATTGTTATTAATGTTGTTACGAGTTGGTGTAGTTAATATTTAATTTCATCTTAAAATAATGTAGGTGATTTATATATGTATGTTTAATACGTTAATGTTACTTTCTGCTATATTTATTTTCTGATAAAAATTATAATATTTGCAATCAACGCCATTTCTTACATTGTAATGGCGATTCAATGGAAACTAGATGGAATATTGGCGATAGATACAACCAAGTTGGCATAATTTTTGGCGATGAAACTTAGCAACTTGGTGAATATGCCGGCTACCATTTATAGGGACTTGGCGATCATATGAATACATCTGAAAATATCTGGAGAAATCCATAACATCAACTTGTATGACATAAGCTGATTTTTAGAGAAAGAGCTGGATGAGATAGCCATGCAAACTATAAATAGCAATCGCTCCCTGAAACTGAGTCTGTATTACTTCGGCTGGTGAAGAGGACGAGAAGCTGCTAGAGGATGAAATTTAACATAACGTACTTGTATTTTTAGACACTGACTGTTGTACCTGAACGCTGTAGAAAAGGAGAAAATCTGCTAGAATTTATTAAGCAAATTTTAATGCTTAATGTTTAAGGATTTTTTTAATTTAAGAATTGTTTTTTGATGATAAATTTTCATCACTTCTAAAGAATTGTTTTGCTCATTGTGGCCTATAGCATAAAACCCATGAACTCCTATCTATGTAATAACATTGTTATTCTAAACTGAATTAGCATCAATATTTTTCATTCGTTTCATTGTTTCTGTTTTTTTTTTAAATTCTGAAAAGAAATACATTTCTAGTTATTGTATTATGAAAAATAATCTCTAAAATTATTCATAATTTTAAATTCATGAAGAAAAATAAAAGAAATTTGTCTAATTTTCAAAAGATTCTGTTCTATTGTAAAATTTCTTTTTGTATTTTTCATTTTTTACCAAACGCAGAATTTTTATAAACGTTAGATTAAATTCTCATAATCCCCTGTATTAATTCAACAATTCCAAATATACAAGTACAGTTTTGTACTATAGATTTTTGTACCCAAATTACCCTTCTCGAATTTTCCTTCTAAAGTAACGAAGTTTCATCCAATAAGAAACGGAAGGTGTTATTGGCTGACATTAGCCAGTGATTAATTTCTTTCCAATATAGTACAGAAAGCAATCAAAGGAATTCCTTCTAATTCTTTAACTCTAGAAAAGGTATTCCTCTACTCTAATTGGATAAATTAAAGCTCGCGCGCTTAAGAAATTTTAAATTTTAAGATATATTTCACTCAATCTTTTAATTTTAATTTTTTTGCCCTAAATGATATGTGTTACTTTATAACATTGTTTTCCTTTTATGTATTTTTTACTTAAAAATACACTTATTATGAAAATATTTTATGTGTTATAGATTTTTTTGAAAGAAAAATATATACACATTAAAATCTCAGTAATGTATGTGTGTGTGTGTGTATGTGTGTGTGTATGTGTATGTGTGTGTATGTGTATGTGAGTGTGTGTGTATGTGAGTGTGTGTAGTGTGTGTATATGTGATGTGTGTATGTGAGTGTGTATGTGAGTGTGAATGTGAGTGTGTATGTGAGTGTGTATGGTGTGTGTATGTGTGTATGTGTGTGTATGTGTTTATGTATGTGTAGGTATGTGTGTATTGTGTTGTGGATTAAATTCCTCTTTAATTTTAAATTTCAGATATATATATAGAATATATATAGAATATATTATAGAAGATATATATATATATATATATATATCTTGCTCAAATTTTCAATTTCGTTAATAGAATACTTTTATTATCAATTTAAGTTTAAATATATTTTTTAAAACTCTAATGGTTGACACTTGATGTTTAATATAGTTTTTTTTCGAATATTAATTCATTAATTCAATTTAAAATAAATAAATAGAAACATAATATCCAACAGCATTTATAGAAATGAAAACCGATCGTTGTGTCCCTGTAGCACAACGGATAGCGTGTTTGGATTTCTACTCCAAAGGCGTGCGTTCGAATACCACCTGGGATGGCCAAATGTCTGAAAATTTGATTTCTTTTATACTATACTTTTTATTAGAACTATTTAATTAAATTAATTTATCAATTGTAACAAACAAAAAAATATTCCAACTCCATATATAGAAAGGAAAATGGAAAATTGGAAGGAAACTCGTTTCTATTTTGTCAATTAATATTGTTATTCTGTCATATGTATATACATATTTATATTAATTGTAACTATTTGTGAAAAAGTAACTAAAATAAATTTTTCTTTGTTAACCTAGGTAGGAATTGACTTAATTTTTTAATGTTACTTGTTTATTGTATCTTGTTATCTTTCTTAAATATTTCTGTGTTTCATATGAAAAGAAAATGAATTGTAAAATATCTGGGGATTTGTGATATAGATAACAATGAAGTTCATAAATAGATTTTTATTTTGGTGCAAAATACCCTCATTAGAGAATCATTAAATCTAAGTTGTAGATTTACTGTGACATTATACTGAAATTCAAATTAAAATATTTTCTTTAAACAACTCTGATTAAAGTTTTAGCTAGAATCAGATTGAAGCTTGACCTAAAATTTTAAATACTTCATCAATGAATATTTAAGCTATATATATATTTATTTCTGTCAATCAGGTATAATGCACATTTTTTAAATTTTTATACTATAAGGATTCACAAATATTCTAAAAATGGGCGAGATCTTTGATTTTCAGGCTACCATTTTCAGGCTAAAGCACTCAAAACACTTTTGAAATATATCCTTCTCAATCCATATTTTCCTCCTTGGCATGTTTGGGAGATATTTCGCCATTTTTCATATTACCGAGATTTGTATTTTACGCCATTCTTATAAAATATGATGTTTCATAAATTTAGTAATATAACAAGTATTATGTATAACCCTTTAATAGCTATGAAGATAAAAAGTAAACATAGTATTAAATGAACAGAACGAATATATTGCAAGCTTATCTTTCCCGACAATGTCAAGATTTAAAAATAAATAAAATGAAGATTCTTTTTTTCCGATTACCCCTTTTTTATTATTATGCCTTGTTCAACGAGAATATGAACCATTTTTGTAATGTCTGACAAACTGATTTTTTCACTCTTACACTTAGCATTATTCAATCTTTTGTCCGTATCTTACACACACGTGCAATATAATTGTTAACTGCTAAACCGACTTTCTTATTTTATTTAAAATCCGTTAACACACACACACAAGTTGCATAAGTTATACGTCCTCACAAAAAAATTCAATATAATTTATCGATCCGTATAAATATTTCTTTTCTTTAAAAAAATTAAAGCATCACACACCAGTTCTGCGATCCAGATTAAAAAAAGGAAATTTTTTCATGGCTTGTTTCCAAATTTCTTCCTTAGAAGAGCTATTTTAGTAAGTTAACCTGATATGTGCGTTGCCCTTTTCCCATTAATTGTTTTTCTTCTCTTAATGTGGCTACTTTAAAATTATCCTGTTTTTATTTGGGACAAAGGAACTCACTCCTCTTAAGAAATATCCGAAAAAGCACTTCTCCTTTTAAGCAAAATATACACTTATTTTTTTGCTAAAAACTCACACCTTTAACTATTTTAATAAGAAATAAATACAGGAACTCTGTGTTTCCCAGAAAATAATACATGATTTTTTTATTAATTTGTTTTGCAAAAGAAGCATTCGAAAAATTTTCAGGGGATATCTTTTTTTCACGCATAAAGTTTATCATAAATTTTTTACAGTTTCCATTGCTAAGGTAGCTAGCTATTCAATATGGAGATGCGTTGGATTGTTCTAAAAAGTATTTTAACTATGGTGTCAATGCAAGGTCAAATGATTTGATATCAGTCTTGTGTAAGAATAATTTCTTTGGTCTTCTCTCAGCCCTCAGCTCACATACTATGCCTTTCAATTCGGAAATAATGTTAACGATATCTAATCATCTATTATTTATTGACTAAAATTATCGCATCCCATTCGAAAATTAAACTTCTTCTAAAAGCAGAAAGTTAAAAGATTCTTAGTTCTAGAGAAGGGAATGGAAACCTTTTAACTGTGGCGTGCCAAACCAATCTACTAATATGATTCAGCGTGCCATACAGTAGGACATTTTTGAAACAATTTAATTTCCGCGATAATGCGTGCAGAGTTAGAGAATAAAGGTTAATAATATAGATTATTTACAGCTTTCTTATCTATTAATTTTGCATCATTTAAAGATGTTTCTTAACATAAAAATAAACAGCATAAAATCTAACTATTCTTTCAACAAAAATAAAAATAAATTTAAATTGTACGTATATAATGTATTTGTAAACATATTTATTAAATTAAGAAATAGACAACATAAAATACAAGTACTTCCCTTCATTATAGTTAAATAAAAAGATAAATAAAATTTGTAATGCCAACCTAGTCCTCTTACTGCCCTACTTCCATATAAAAAAATGAGGGGTATGAAGAGTGACTTTCAATTTGACACAATTCTGAGCATTCAGTTGTTCAATGATTTCTTTGCAGATATGAAATATTTCTCATATGAAGAAAGAGTTTTTACTTAGATATATGTAGAACCAAAAGCGCGGAAAGCTATTTTCTGTCATCGAGCTATTAAATCTTTGTCCGGAAATGACATTTAACTTTTACAAAATAGGTATAAATTTATCTTTAGAGTTATCTTTCAAATGTTTTCATAATTCCGTAAATTATTAAAATTCTGGAGAGGATTTCTCCAAATAAAGTCTATTACAAATTTATTAGTATCCATCCAATCAAAAATTGACAAATTTATTAAGTAGTGTAGAGTGCCTCTGAGAATTGTACCGCGTGCCATAGGTCGCCCACTCCAGGTCCTAGAGGTTCTATAGTTAATCATCTACCCACTTCCCTCCCTTCGTACTCCCCAATAGCCCTTAAAATCTTCTACAAAACTTTTCTTCTGCTTGACGTTTCTTTTTTACACTTATAGTATCAAATGTTATCAAATGTGTCTATGTGAACGTCAATTGCTCATTCAGCAGTGTCTGGCACCCGCTTCACGAACAACTTTGAAAAGGACTTATTTTATGGTTAGGGCTTGTATTGCTAACTCAGTGAAGAAGCGGCAGCCTAGTGGTCATTAGCACTAGTATGTGGACGGGGTGTCATGATTTCTAGCTCTACTGCTCCTTACCTACCCCCGACGTATATATACGTTTCGCTCTCCCTTCACCTTAAGTGTCGGACGTATATATACGTCTTTAAAATACTCTTTTTATTAGAGCTTCTATCAGTATAACTATTCCGAAGGATGTGAAATGCCGTAAAATGACCATGACATTATTTGGATAGGATTAACTTATTTAAAAAAAATTTGCTTTATCGTTCTTTTCTAACCACCCCCAATGCATGTATGTGCGCACCTATGTGAAAAGTGGTGGCACTGGAGAGGGTCGTCAGTTTAATCGGCAGTTAAGGATTAAGAACCACCGTAGACCTTTTGGTTCAAAGTTCGCCCGTTGGTATGGTGTAGTAGTTTGAAGAAGAGCGTTCTACTCCCAACTGTCGTTCTCATCACTTGACCAAGGCTCAAAATTACGAGATCTATCGCTAATAGCTCTCGTGTTTCTTTACAGTGCAACGTTTATAAACACCCACGAAAGTTAAAAATCAAACTAAAGCTTGGCTTTTTTAAGCATAGGGATTAGATTTTCCTTCCGGTTAAGCGCGGTATAAATAAAGATTGTTCTAATCAAAAAAGGAGGAAAATAAAAAATTAATTTATGAGATATCTTTTCAAAATTATTTAAGTTAATAATGCGGAAAACTTATTAAATAATTAGAAAAAAAATCCATTATTAAAAATAATATTTTTTTCTTCTAGTTTTTCCCAGGTATTGATTAGACTGTTGTGTATATATATATATATTATTTGTGAACAAATAAGTTATAAATAATTCAAAGTAATAAAGTTACGAATGAAACTTCAATCAAAGATTTCTTTCTTATCAATTTTCTGTTAAAAAGAGTAATAAATTCAAGGAATTATTTTAAAGGGACATGGTACGAGCTACACAATTTTTTTAGTTAATGATTTTGATAGTTTTTTTGGTTGCCTCCTATGTGTATGCATGATGTAAAACAGATTTTGTGCTCTAAATTTCATAAAAAGCTAACCATTTAATTTTTTAAGGGGAAATTTATGGAGTGATTTTAAAATGCTACTCCTCTTACAAATTTGAAGTACATATATGAAATTTGATTTACCAGTACCTGAAACTATGTGCAACAAAAGTTGGTATGAGTTTTGCTATAACATGATTAGTATTCATGCAATACTTTTTATGAATGCTTTTTGAAAATTCCCTAAAAATGTGTAAATTTTAAATTCAAATATTTTTTTAAAAAATAAGTATTTTTTTTGATTGAAAAATGCATACCAACTTTTATTCCACGTACTATTAGCAACAAGTAAAGAAAATCCAAGAATTAGGCGCGATATAAAAAAAGCCTTAGCATTTTAAATGAAGACAAACTAATTATTATCTTTCCGAGATAAGTCAGTTTAAAGTTTTGATTTGTCATTGGGCTATGAATAAAAACAAACGAAAAAGGTATCACAACGGTGCGTTTTTTAAACTTAGAGCTTTCAAATTTTGTGAGTTTGTAGAAATGTACAAAAAAAAATAATTAGGCTTAAAAAATTAAATTATTTTTTTGACCATTTTTGTCAATTGAATTACACTGTGTCCCCTTAAAACATTTAAAAAGATATATGCATTTATTGTACTATGAAAAAGACATAAAAACTTTATTTGATGGAATAAACTGGTAATAATTAAAATGTAAGAAAAATATTTTACAACGGCTTATTTCTACGTTGGACAATATAATTTATTTTTCTTAGATAAACTTTAAAAATCTTAGTTTTTAAAATTCTTTAGTTTAATGAGCTATTACTTATATTTATTTTAGGCACAATTTTTTTACCTGGATTTCATGTAAAAAACTTGAATGAAAAGTTTTCTCAAGAAA